AATACTGACGCAAAAATGGGCTCTAATAACTCCGACACTATGATTATCGCCTGCATATATTCGTCACCCTAGAAAAAAAATGAAATATTTAGTCAATTACTGTGATATAAAAGCGTTTCCTTTCTGTACCGAAAGGAGAGGTAAAGTCAAAAAAATTAAACGTTTCAGTACCGATTAACAAAAACAACGTTGTACGCCAAAAATGGACGAAAACAAATGAAATGAAAAGAATAGAAGCGTAATGCTGGTAGCTGTTTACAGTACATGTTTGTTTATTATTATACGAAGCAATAAATAAAAATAAAACTTCCGTTTTACAAAAATAAAAAAAAACTACTAATTCAGTCATACTATACATATGATGTAAACATAAACCAACAAGCAGACACGAAAGAGTAAAAAAATGTTGCTGACCTGGACAATGGACGAATATCAAATGACAAAGTTCGTGTGAATGTGCCACTATTTATAGGTCTATGAGAGAGAGTGAATGAGAGAATATACTTCTCTGAAATTGCTTAGTGAGACTGGTTCATTCAACGGTCAAGACACATATATATGTAGACGAGGAGACAGAAAGAAAAAGAAAAAGACGCCAATACGGACGCCAAGAATGACGCCAAGAATGACGCCAATAGGGACGCCAATACGGTTCACAATACGGACGCCAATACGGATGCCAACACGGACACCAATACGGACGCGAATAGGGACGCCAAGGAGGACAACAATAGGTGACGGATGTAAAGGTGCACTCGATTACTTGTTCATTTCTGTTCGTTAGGTTGGTAGCTCGAGTAAAGAATAGCTTCATTTATCATGACGCGAAATATGCTGCACCTGATTCATCGAATGGTAATGAGAATCATAAGATTGGAATAAACGATGGAAATCGGACGAAAGCGACGCGCAGTGCTAAGGAAGTATTAAGGCTGTTACTCGCCTTGATCATCGACATTTATACGACTAACTGCTCAATAGGGGTGTCGGACTTTTTATTTGTTAAGGAGTATGTGTGATTACGAGAAAACCGCTTTTCTCTGTGTAATGAATTGATCAGTCCGTTTTTGGGGTGCACTGTACAGTTGTTGAGAGATCTGAGAAATAAAGGAGTATACATTTATCAGTATTACGTAAATGAAGTATTGCGTTTGACTGATTATTTTGGCAGAGGTGTTGTATACAAAGGAGCATCTGGGAAAAAGAGAGAATAAGTAACAAGAAAAAGTCGTCAATGGAACTGTCATCTTTGAATGAAGTTCGCATTGTCCAGTTTTCTGAATGTGAAGCATGTCTTCCTTATAGTTGATTTAATTTACTCAAAACAATTATTTGAATAACAGCACTGGACAATGGGAGCTTACTTTCAATTATCCCACGCTTTGAAGAACTGTCTAATCAATAAATTTTGCTGAAGTGTTTTTGAAACAATATCTTTCAAAATTCTTTCAATTTATGTGTGATTCAATCAAAATTCATTTGTGTTAATCGATAAGATCATCTTGGATTTAACTTAACATCCTGGAGGTTCCGAAGCATGAAGAAAAAGATACAATACTTAATACTGTGTTTGTATTTGCAAAGTGACCTTCCAGAATAGTTTTGTAGCATCATATATTGTGTTGGAACGCTGCAGCTGAGATATTACGCTAAGAGCGTCAGAATTTTTTTTTGTATAAAATATCGGCTGTTCGACAACAAAGAGGCTGTTGGTTCTATTTCGTTTGAAAGTCTTCGAAAGTAATTTGTAAATATCATCTCTTAGAATTAATCGGAAAAGCTAAATCGATGACGTATGAGTTACTTTTATGCAAGAATTTGTTCGATAGTATTGTACACGTTGTTGCTATCGATTTGGTGAAATTGACAATATGCTATCATGATTTTCCAAGCCACCTAATTCCAAATGTCCATACTTATTGATAAAATTGCTTTGCTATCAATAAATATGCCTGTATCTGATAGCAGCCTCTTTCTGGTACAACATATGAGATACGTTGGGTTGTCACAGTGGTATTTATGTTTCTTTTTTACATAGCTGCTGATGCAATCGTGGCCATTCGAATTTTTAGACGGCTGTTCTGTTCATGAAAAATTCATCTTTTACGATGAAATGTAATTCTGCTCATAGAGTTGCAATCATCGTTGCTGAATATGATCAATTTAAGCGTATTTACAATAAAAAATCATGGTTGAATTAGTTATCATGAATGATTTATTGTTGTAATAAAGGAAAACAAGGCCATGAGAGGCTATAGCAAATAGTATACTAGAATTAAAACAATGAATAATATAAGTAAAGATACAAATTTGGAATGATAAAGATAGTTAATAGATATTAATGAAAAAAAGTCAAAACTTATTAAACAACCACAACTATTAATATTAGTGACACAAATAGTTTTATGCAAACATAATATGTTACATAGAATAAAAGCGAATGAAAGAGATGCATGTTTTAATAGACGTTAACAAATAAATGAAAAGAAAAACTGGAAAACAAATGTCAGTTATTCAATATGTCTGCTAGTATGGTTAAATCAAATGAGTAAATCAACGCGTTTAGATCTTCATTATAATACTAGTGAATATTATCAATAGGCTCATCATTCAAAACCATATTTGTTTGTGCTAATTGAGGTGCATATTTATTTTTTTCATTATTATGTTTACGTCGTTTTTCTGTTTGTGTTCCTATGGTTGTTTTTGTTCTTCGAACTAATGATTGATCCTGATCTAATGGAATTGAAGCACAAGATGCTACTGCTTGTCCTGCTGCTGCTTTTGCTGCTGCTTTTGCTGCTACTTTTGTTGCTGCTTTTGCTGCGACTTTTGTTGCTGCTTCTGTTGTGGTTATTGTTGATGATGATGGACGCTGCTTAGATCCACGTGTTTTTGATTTAAATTGACCAAATTCAAGACAATTTATATCGTTTTTAATATAGTCATTCCATGCCAGGGTGTCTTGTGTAACTTTATAATTACAACATGTTTGACAAATTGGATCAAGAAATCGTGTTTTTTTATTGACTTTCCCTTTAAAAATAATTTGTATATCTAAATGTTTTTGACCGTCTATTTCACTTATTCCTTCACCAACACAAATATATTGAATATTTTTAATACTGAATTCTTGTTTAATATGATTCATGACAACATCTTTGGAAATATTCGTCCATGATATAATAGCTAATGATTTTCTATTTAATCGAATGGGCTGTCGACGACAAGATGCTGGTGGTGCTTGAAGATTAAATTGACATATTTTAGCAATAGTTTGTCGATCAAGATCACCATATTTAGTGTAAGAACGATCACGACCGGCAATGCTAGTCGTTTGATCGACAGGTGTGGACGAATATTTGATCATGGTGACTGATGACGATGATGGTGATAATAATGTTTCAAATTCATTTGAAGCTTGATTATTAGTATTCTCGACTGGTGTCGTATCCAATATAAAATTTAATTCTTGTATTATACTATTAGCGGTATCAAGATCTATAGATTGAGAATCTTGAATATTTTGTAAAAGACATTCCATTAGTTGTTGTCCTTGATTTCTAAGAGCTGCTTCATCAAATTGTTCTTCGAGTGTTGAAAAATCCTTCTCTTTATTGTGATGATCATCGTCGGGTACTACTACTTCTTCTTCATCATTAATTGTTTGTTTCTTCTTATAGACATATGATACTGTTGGTTCATATGTATTCGAAATTGATATGGTGTCTAGTGGAAATAAACATAGTTGTATATCCATTGGTGATGGATCCATCGAAATATTATCAGTGTCCGGAACATGAGCATTGATTGGCAAACTCGGTTCCTAATAAAGAAACATAAAATCCGGCATTCCTATGTATTGATTTTCAAACTCCATCGATGTATAATTGCTGAATAACGATATTGAATACGTTTTTCGTGTTAATATAATTTTTTCTGTTAAATATGTCTATCTAAAATATCATGTATCATATGAGTTTATCCCGTATTTAGTGGCGTAACTAGACCAGTGGCGACTCGCTGGCGGTGCCCTGGCAGTAGAAGGTGGCGCCACTCTTTTTTTGCTTCTAACTTTTTAACTAAATGTCATGAAGGTCTGAGCTTTTTATCA